CTGAAACCATGGACGATGTGGGTCGGGGCAGGGGCTTAGGGAGTATCGAATCAGGGCAATGTGAAATTAACTATACAACCCTGACGAAGAGCTCGGCCACGAGGAGGTCGATGAAGTGAAAGAGTGTGCCTTTCCAACGGCGCTGGCGACTTCCTATTCGGAGAGCTTTGCGTCGCTCAGATCTTTGTCGAAACCGGTGTGGATCTCTGTGGACGCTGCTCTCTGTAGGCGTTGCTGGCACCTTTTGCCGTGGTGACTAGGACTGCCGCGCATTACAACAGTAATGGCATTTCTTGCAGCAGAACCCACCAAAATCAGTGCAATCGTGCACGGTGAAAGGGCATGCCGCGGCAGCGCAGCTGTGCCTATAGTTGTGCCAATGGAAGTAGTCTCCGGCTCGTGCTGCATGCAGGGGTTGGGTGGGCTTAGAATATCGAATCTTGTTCTAGGCCGGAGGGCTGGTATTCCTATAGTCTCGATCCATATTATATATATATATATATATATATTATATACATATATATATATATATATATATATATATACGACCTGGCCTGGGGGAAGACCCAGAATTATTCCTGGCAGGGTTTAGGTTTTGGGGTTCGGGGTTTAGGGTATTTCTCCGGCTGAGCTCCACATAGGATTTCGGGTTTAGGGTTTCAGGGTTTTTTGTGGGGTGTAGGGTTTTGAGGGTTTGGGGTTTTCGGGTTCAAGTTTTAGGGTTTGGGTTAAGGGTTTTGGGTTTTAGGACCCCCGGAAAAAAAGGCATCCCAAACCCCCTAAATGCAAAGCTCTGGCGGAATGCTATTTGACCTGTAATCCATATACAAAGAATTCGGCCCTATCGAAACCCGAGCCCGAACCCTAGACCTTAAGCCCTAAACCTCGAAAGCTGTAGGCGCTAAAGGTTCGGGGTTTGGGGTTTAGGGTTCAAGGTTTTAGGGTTTGAGTTAAGGCTTTTGGGTTTTAAGACCCCCGAAAAAAAGGGCATCCGAAACCCCTACATGCAAAGCTCTGGCCGAATGCTATTTGACCATGGAAACCCGAGCCAAACTCTAGACCCTATGCCCTAAACCTCGAAAGCTGTAGGCGCTAAAGGTTCGGGGTTTGGGGTTTAGGGTTCAAGGTTTTAGGGTTCACGTTAAGGGTTTCAGGTTTAACCCCGGGATAACGGCATCCCAAATCCTAAATCCGAAGCCCTAGCCGAGCGAAAAACACTTAACCCTGCACTAGAACCCTAAGCCCTGAACCCTATATTTAGTACAAACTATATAAGACGAGGCTGGGCCATATCGAAACCCGAGCCCGAACCCTAAACCCTAAATCTCGAAAACTCGACCCATATATATAGCTATAATTTATTGAATTAACTATATTCCCCGATCTGGGAGCCCAGGCATACCGGCGATCATCATGCAGCAAGCCGGCCAGCACCTGCATCGCAGAAAGGATTAATTAAGGAGTATAGGGGATTAAGGGTTTTGTGTTCGGGATTGGGGGGTTCGGTGCACCACCATCTCCCAGCGATGCGCCGAACCCCCCAACGCCGAATGCATTAGGGTTTTGCGTTTAGGGATTTTGCACTAATGACCGGCCTATTATAAACCCAAATGACTCCAAAACAAGACCCTCACCCCTGATCCCAAAAAAAATGAAACATATCCCTATGCACACCCCGACATCCGAATTCTGAAACCTTTAACCCGACAGCCTATATGGGTTGAAGCGGCCTTGTGGCCAAGGCCGCCGCAGCCGCAAGAAGAGGCAGCCGCGCACGGAGATGCACCTGCGATTTCTGGATCTTGGCTCTAATTATACTATATAATATTATTATAAGTTTTATATCGATCCGCGGCTATAGCGTTATTCGGGACATGGGGTTTAGGGTTGGGCCTCGGGCCCGTGCTTTAAGGATGTGGGCTTTAGGGTTGGGTTTGGGATTTAAGGATTGGCAAGAAGGCCGATATAATGGGTTCGGGATTAGGGCTTGGGGCTGGGCCTCAGGCCTGGTTGTTAAGGATCTAGGGTCTAGGGTTGGGTTTGGGATTTAGGACTGTGTACGTTGGGCTTAAGCTAGGAATATTGGCGATTTCATAGTGGGTGGGGGGGTCGGGTTTGGGATTGAGGGTTTAGTTTGGAGCCGGGCAAGGGCCGGGATTTTGAACAAGTCGGGTTGGGGTCCGCCGCGAATATATATATATATATATATATATATATATATATATATATATATATATGGGTTAGGGCTTAGGGCTTAAGACAACCCCAATGGGACCAGGGTACCCCAAATTCGATTCGGGATTAGGGCTTAAGGAAAATGGGGGGGGATCCTATATTACAGCCCTTCGCACCTATAGCCTAGGACCTAGACCTATCCTATACCTATCCCCTAGACCCTTGGGCCGGGGTGAGGGCTTAGGGCTTAAGACAACCCCAATTGGAGTGGGGTTTGCCAAATTCGATTCGGGATTAGGGCTTAAGGAAAATGGGGGGGATCCTATCCTACATACAGCCCTTCGCACCTAAAGCCTAGGACCTAGACCTATCCTACCTATCCCCGAGACCCAACCCCGATTGGACTAGCGGACCCCAAACTCCGGGATTAGGGCTTAAGGAAAATGGGGGGATCCTATCCTATACAGCCCTTCTAAAGCTATAGGACCTAGACCTATCCTACCTATCCCCTAAACCCTTGCATGGGCCGTGGGCCCGCAGACTGATGTGGGTCTGCATGTGCTCGGCTGCCATCTGGAGCGACTCTCGAATGCCCTGAAACTTGGCATTCAGCTCCAGGTCCAACTCATCACTCAGATGACGCTCCATCCATCCCATGAACGAGTGATGAGTGCAGTTCCGTGGCGATGCCCCTTGGGCAAGAGATCCTTGGCCTTGGACAGGGGTGGTCGATCCGGGCCGGGATCTGCTTTTGCCGGGCATTTGCCACAAAGCCGGGCCTTTTTGCTTCCTCATCCCGGAAGTTAGGAGGATCGTCTTCGTCGGACGAGTCCCGCAGTGCTCGCTGAAGCTGGGGCATGGCGTCGCGGCCGAGTGCCTCAAGGTGTCAGCACTGCCCCACGCACGACCAACGGTGCGAACGTGCAGGCCAAGTGCTCCGATGGGTAGGAAAAAAACCCTGTTTAAGTCTGAAATAACACCCTCGAGTTCCGAAGCCCTAAATCCCGGAGTTATAACTAGAGCGAATAAGACCTATATAGGCTTAACGTCTCGCCCCCGGTCAGGGGTTGCCTATCTAGATCTCGAATCCCTACATTCGGCGCCCAACCTGAAACCTATAAGACTTTAAACCCGTCGGGATTCAGGATTCAGGGTTCAGGGCCCAGGGGCTTGGCAAGGGACAGCGTGCCCAATAAATAATATAGGAATTAGGCCTAGCTGCCTAGCTTATCCTCAATCCCAGCCCGATCCTAAACGGAACGCCGCATACCCAAGAATCCAGATCATCCTCCAAAACCAAAACTGTTCTGAAGACCCAGAACGAAACTCAACCCCAACCATATATTGGAAGACCCGAGTTAACGACAGTTAACCCCTATGCCAGCTAAAACCCGAGTTAAGGACAGTCAACCCCAACCCTATGCCACCTAAACCCGATGCAAGGGAGACCCCTACAGGAAAGTGAGCCCCTATATATGCCACATAAACCTAACGAAATTCAACTCCAACCCTAACCCTTGGATCCTCGGCCTGTCCCGAGGCGAAGAAAACGGGTGGCCGACATGCGTGCAAGCATGCGGAGAAAAATAACACCTAGACGAGCTTAAGCTGGGGTTACATTCATCTATTGAGCTTTATATCTGATAGCAGAGGGTTCGGGATTTAGGGATCAGGGCTCATGTTGATTAACATGACGAGCCTGCTGAGGCCGGCGGCTTGCGTGCGAAGTTGGTTTACACCCTTACTTACTGTATATATATGCTGAACAACCCGGCCCATGTATCTTAACAGAGCCCTGCATAATGTCAGTTTATGAGCATTGATACCACTTAGGAACACATAATGTCAGTTTATGTAGCATAGAATGTTACTTATATAAGGGGCCCAAAATCAGGTCACTTGGATGAGTTTTCGTAGGGTTAGAATATGTGCATCCCAGGGAGGTTGTTTGGAAGGCCCTGGATATAGTAATACCAGAAACATAGTTTGACATATTCGACCACCTTATAACGACTTCCATGCCATGACAATCAAAATCACAAGACAATATGGCAAAATATAGTAGGATTCATAGTATAGCCTGCATTTTTGTGAGCAGTGTAAACAGTGTGCAGTTTGACAACACTGCCTCATATTGTCCTGTAAACATGACTTACTGTTCACACTACATGTATCTCTGTCTTTTAATTATATACGTACTTATGTTACAGGGGTTTTGGGGCTTGCGTTTCAGGTTTTAGAGTTGTATGAGTGCCTGGAGACGACCCGTCGCTGTCAGAAACTTGACATTTCACCATCCACTCGAACAACCAAGGCTTCCACGCCCAAACATGCCCTGAGCTTGAGGGTTAAGAGCTGCAGTGTCCGGGTTCAGGGGGTGTGGTGCGGCGTACGAGCTCAGACCGCAGGAAATAGATGAAAACACCTGCCGGGATACACCACATAGCACAAACTGAGGCCTGACAGTTTCGGTCAGGCGCGCGATGCTGTGGCCGGGGTACAAAGCGGACAGATTCGAGAGAACACACAACAATCGGATTATTGCTCTCGTTGTAATCGGGCTATCCCGGACAATCATCACAACACCACAAACAAATCAGAATGGATGAACCCTGACCCCGAAACATCAACCTCAAGCAGACTGGAAGCAACAACTACAAAGCAAAACCCGAACCTAACAAGTCCTAGGTTTGAGCGTTCAGGGCTTGGCAGTGTGAGGACTTACGGGCTCCTCCCCTGGTGCGTAGCTTCACACCGAAAGTCTGAAACCTGACCTGAATATTGAATAGGGGAACCCTCCGTAACTTGTGCGTGGCCCACATGTCCTCGTCGGTCATCCGCTCCCCCAGCTCCTTCGACCAAGACTATCTTGCCGCTGTCTACAGGAGCCCAGTTTGGAAGCTCGAGGATTACCATTTCTGGGCCTGTCAGGACTCTGCAATTGACTGATGAGCTTCACAAAATCCAGGCATCGCTGACGAAACTGCAAACTGAGGGGCCTCAACAGCAAGGCTTTGTGACCGCTCATATCGCCACCAAAAGTACTGCGGAGGACTATTAGCCAGAACCGAAAGCAAAACTTGCACATCCAATGCCACTACTCCCACTACTTCTGCCATGTCTATCATGAATACTTGTGCTGCCGCTGCTCCCCCTCCCCCTGACTCTACTCCTACTCCTACTGCTTCTCCTCGTCCTTCTCCTACTCCTACTACGACCACTACTACTGCCACCAAGCACGATAGCCCACGATAGCCAACCAGAAAACTCTCTGTTTGCTGTTAAAGCTAAATTTAAAGTTATAACCTTTCGAGTCAACAAAGCAAGCTGCACCCAAACGAAACCACCAACGTCGTCAATGCAGAGCATGCCCTGAGACTAAATTGTGGCCTACGATGGCCTGCAACCATGTCCCAACTGCAGATAAGCCCCAGAAAAAGATCCGCCGGCAAGACCAGTCTGCGAACGTGCGAAAGATGGCCCGCCTTGGCCACGCGCTTGAGATTCTTGAAAGAGATCTTGCCCGTCTCGTCATCGTCGAAGAGGCGGAATGCCTGCATTGAGGGCGCATGTTGCAATTAAACGTGAAGTATTTGGTCCTCTCGAACTATGTAGTCGTAATGTTATAGTCCGCTACTTTCCAACTCGTTTTGTAGTATCAACTTGCTGCTATACTGTCGTCGTACTACTACTACTACTACTACTACTACTACTACTACTACTACTACTACTACTACTACTACTACTACTACTACTACTCTACTAGTACTACTAGTACTACTAGTACTAGTACTACTACTACTACTACTACTACTACTACTACTACTACTACTACTACTACTACTACTACAGTACTACTACTACAGTACTACTACTACTACTACTACTACTACTACTACTACTACTACTACTACTACTACTACTACTACTACTACTACTCCTACTCCTACTCCTACTCCCTACTCCTACTCCTACTCCTACTGCTACGGCTACGGCTACGGCTACGGCTACGGCTACTGCTGCTGCTGGCTGCTGCTGCTGCCCATATCAAAGATGGTTGTTGAGTCACGCATTTTCAAGGAAGCTCATGCGGCCCATGTGCCCCGGACGCACACTCCTCGAAGTCCCAAACCCCGAAACACTCGAAATTCCGAAGGCCAAGTGCTGAGCCATGCGACAGCTTTTCGCTGCTTGCTGTGGAAATAAAACTAGCATATTAACCCCTCATTCTCATTCTTGTCCTGTGCAATCCAGCCGTAGAGCGCTAAGTCAAATGCTCCCAAGGGCAGCCTTGAGAATCTCGTCCTTCGGGTCGCGATTCAAGATCTTGTGGGTCATCCTGAGCCGTCTCCACTAGAAGGAATCTGGCCCAGACTCTAGGAGCTTTGTCAGGAGGTCGTGCTCCAGGGATATGTAGATTTGGACCACGGGCTTTAGGCTGTGGGACTGTGGCAGCGACAGCCACCGAAACACGGACAATAACAACAACACCAAGTCTTTGCACAAAAAATGCCTGCAAAGGGCGTCATTCGAGGTCAATGCTGATGCTGAGGACTCTTCGGTTTGAGACAAAGGGCTCCGGGCTTAGGGTTGAGCTTTCAGGATTTCAGGAGTCAGGGTCTGCATCTAGATGGATCCCGGGTGTATGGCCTCGGGTCCTGAATCTTGGATAGGGATTGATCTTGCTAAGCCTGAGGTAGCTTCAACAGCTACCAGCAACTCGACAAGCTCCCACCTGGACGCTAGATGCTGAACCGTGTGTCAGCCCACGACACAGACATAGTTCAGAGACAGGTTCAAGGTTTAGGGCTCAAGCTTCGCGTCTGACATGCAACTAAATACTAAAATGTCTAGAACGATGCCACTGAAAACTTGAAATTAAGATATCTTGACTGCTGCCGGATTTCATCTTCAGGAACTCCTCATAGCCGATGGTTCCTGAGCCGTCATCCTCGGATGACAGGCATCGAGAGATAGGGTTGCAAAACCTGAATACTTAACACTGTAAACTCAAACTGTGAAACTTCAGCCCTCGTCTCCAAAATTTCTAGACTCCAAAGCTGAAACCCACAAGTCCTCAAAAACCTTAATTTTTATCCAAACCACACTCTACACTTAGACTCTACACCCTGCGCCCTACACCTGGACTCCGACAAAGATCAATTCTAGTTGCGAATCCATAAACCATAAACCAACAAAGCCGTACAGGAGCTGCAGTGAGATCCTTAACGATTTCCCCGCCCCCTCTTCAACGAATGCAGCTTTGAGCCTTCCACAAACTTACGTCCTGAGCCATTCCAATACCCGAGACCCCGGCTCGGCTCCTGAAGAACCCGCAAGCAAGCCAAGGCGCATCCACGTCGGAGATCATCTTCTGGATTTCCTCTTTCTTCGGTTCGAACCCCAGGGCACGCATGGCCACCTGTCAGGATAGAGAGCTTAGGATTTAGAATTTTAGGAATTCGGCTTTAGGGGCTTCTTGGGGTCTTTTTGTCTCCTTTCACAATCATTGCCTCCGGAAGGTCGCTGTGGCATTCTTGTGGGGTATGCTTCGGTGGTTCTAGGGCGGCTCGTTCAAGATTCCGGATCCTGGGTTTCGGCGACTAAGCCCTTGGAAGTTTAGTGTTCAGGAAGCGCAGGATGTAGGGTTTAGCCTGAGACTTTGCGGTGTCAAAAACTTAAAATCTATTTCGGCCGGAACCCTCTTGTTCCAAACCCTCGAGCCAAAGCCCTGGACCCTGAACAAAAACTGTTAGGCTGCTGCTACGCTAGAAAAATGCAGCTCATGGGCCTCTCATCACTGTCAGTCAATGCGATAACATTGCGCATCAGCAGTTCTGATCCTTCATGTGGGAGGTCTCAGATGCACGGCAGCGCAGCTAAGCAGTTCATAGGTTCCGCACGTGGGAAGCCAGGGCGAACAACTCGGACTCGCCTTGAGCTCCTTGGAGTCGATTTCTCCGGAGCCGTCGGTGTCGAAGAGGTCGAAAGCCTCGGGCTTCCCGAGCGGCTAAGTCAATTCATATGGAGTTTTACAGTTTGGGGCTCCTTTGTGCAGGGAATGGGGGCTGAAGACACCATAGCCATAGCCGCCATAACCCTGCGCGTGGAAGCTGAAACATGACACAAAAATCTTGAACCCCAATCTGATCAATCGCCCCAACCCCAAAACAACACACCGCAAGTCGACACAAAGAAGGCCCTGAGCTTCTCCCGAGCCGCCTCCTTGATCTCCTGCTTCTGCTCCTCAGTGAGCTCCTTCTGCTTCTTGCCACCTCAGCCGTCCATTCGTCCATCCCCATCTTTCAGTGTGTCAGCGGTAAGAACTTGCTTCTTCAATGTGACTTGCTTCTTCAATGTGAACCCACACTCTCCCACGCCCTGAATCCGTGTGGGGCCCTCCAGTCGAACGGGGCCATGCCTGTGGAACACATGCTACGATGACTTGAGCTCCAAACCCGCGTTGAATCGGCGCAGAGCCATGGCTTTGGAGAGAAAGCCTTGCAACCAGCGCTTTCTGCTTTATCGGTACGGCGAGGTCGGGGCCCGGGGCTTGGATTGTGGTTTGGGTCTGAGGGTGTGAGGCTTGCGGACTCAGAGCGGCGCAAAAGGGCGTTTCGTGGAAAGCGACTGCGATCTCAAGGACTTTTTGCGACAGGTTCATCTATTTCACTGTTCCGGTCAGGGCTATAGGGTGGTGATTTCAGGGTTAAGGCTGCGAAGGGAGCCGTTTGTAGGGCCCCAAAACGCACATAAGCACAAATTAGGATAGGGATATCCCATATAAACCCCCCCTTATAATGAAGCCCAATAAGGTAGGGATATCCCTGTAAAATGCTTATGCTTATGTGCTTTTTTGGCCCCTAAGTTTGGCATTTGGGAGTCAAGGCTCTTGCCTTGCCTCCTGAATCTAGAAGTTGGTTAAAGGGACTCTCGACCTCCTGACAGTCCGGGCGGGGAATTGTGTTCAAGCGGGTTAACGAAACAAGTGCAGGCGCACAATCAGTTTAAACATCTACCCTGCTCTTGAAGCCAACAAAACGCCAAAAGACACTGGGCGGCATTCGTGTGAACATTCTGGAAGAAAGCTCACGACTAAGATTACCGTCATGTTGAACTGCAAAATGAGCCCAGCTGAGTCTCAAAACCATCCAATCCTGACTCACTGTCAGATACCTTCAGCCATGCATCCCTAATATAACCGTGTTCGTTCGTAATGAAAGGCCTGAGCAACCTGGACAAGGTTGGGAATAGATAGTGGTATAAGTATACTGATTTACCTGGCTAAGGAAGAATACGATGCGTTGCTGTTGCAATTGTATGGTCATGTATAGTCTTACACGCGAGACCGTGGGCATCTAATGTGATAATCTCCTCCGCTCCGCCCAACCGTACACCGGCTTCAAGTGCGAAATTCAAGCAGGGTGTCGGATGGGTTCCAGAGCTTAAGGGCTTCAGCTCTGGGGCTGGGCCCTTCCAGACTTAAAGCGCCTATATGTAGGGCCTAAGGGATGTCATGGGTAGGAACTGATCTCAACAACAGCGGGTTACTGCCTAAGGGCTTATGCAGGTTTGGTCTACGCTTCAAGCTTGGGCTCAACCCGACAACCCTGCGCTCATTGCATCCGAGCAGCGAGTGGAGGAAGGGCTGCTCACGGAAATGCACCAGGAGGATCGCTAAAGACAGGTTCGAGCCGGAAAACATAGAGATTTTTCGGTTCAGTTTGGTGATCTCACCAGTTCAGGCGGATCACAGCGTGCCAGGTTGCCCTGGAAGGCATCCTGTCACGCCGCTGCGCTTCCCCCAAGTTCGAGGCAAACTCTGAATCCCTGAAAGCGGCAACTGCCGAAGTTGCAGAACCCTGATAGATTGGAAGGAGACTCTGCCAGCCTGGAACATTCTGTGGGCCATTTACGGGCTTAGGGTTTGAGGTTTGAGCTCCAGCTGTTCAACTCGACCAAAGCTAAACCCTAACCTTTAGCCACATTAACGAAACATGGCCCCGGCATGTGTGAGCAGAAATCGCGGCTTCAAGCCGACGACACGCTTCAGGGCGTTCACCTGAGGTGGTCTCGAGGTGTCAGCACAGTGTTTGGCTGCGTGACCGGAGTTGATCGTGTTGGGTTCTGGTGTCGGTCTTGCGGTTCGGAGACCGGTTCAATGTGATGAAGTACAGATCTGTTTTCGGGAGTTGGGGCTACACAGGTCAGTCCTCTTGAGACTCAAGGCGGCCCTGGCATGCTGTGTATTGGTAGGGCTAGAAGAGGAACCATGACCTTAAACTCTGCACCAGAGTATATGAGAAACCCTGTCAGGAAGTTCGGTGAAATGCAGTGTTGAGGAAGGCCTGTGGTTTACCTCAGGCTCCGGGGGCACGCGAAGTCCTGAAGGATGCTGAGTTCATGCTTCGGCAGTGAAGCCGATCACATACACGGTTCAGACTCTTCAGCACAACCCGCGAAGTCCCCAAACCACTCTTTTGTGTCTGATGTCCCTAAACACAGGGCCCGGGCAGCATCTGGCAGGGTCATATAGTTGAAGACCTGAGGTAGAGCTGAGGGCTTTTCAAGATTAGGCTAGGGCTGAATACCTGAAGCTAAAGCCACTTGCAACTCGAACCTGCAGAGCGACCCTGAAGCTTAGAGGTTGAGGATTTAAGGCTTGGGTTTGTGAGCGACGTCAGTGTCAGAAGGTCGTAGCTGGCCTTCGTGCCTTACTGTGAACATGCCACGTCCTGAACTCACACCATGTAAAAACACAACGTCGTAGCCGTTCTGACAGCAATGACAACCAATACCAAGGCAAAGGCAAGACACGGTCAGTAAGTTCAGAGCTTCTCGAAGGATGATGGTGATGAGGATGACGTGCGGTATTGTGGTTGCGATAATTGCGGTGATGGTGCGACAATCAGACGATGATGAAGATGCCATCGACGGTGTTTGTGAGAACATGAACGAGAAACCAGATGATGATCCCTCCACACGACCGGGGCATCCCACTCGTAGCTACAAACTTACTGAGAAATAGTGATGAATGCATGCTTCAGACTTCGCGCAGAGGGAAGCTAATGCCTGATCAAGCCGCTAGCCGGGAGGCGACATGTCAAGCTCGGCTTCAGAGGTGTGTGGGCGGATCGACCGATGCTCTTGACCCTGAACTCTAAAGCCGACTTGTGTTGTGGCGCGAAACCATCGACCCGAATTCAAGCAACGAGAAAGCTCCGAGACAGCCCTGGGTGGGGTTCCTTTGAGTTCAAGATTTGGAGCTTCGAGGTTTGCAGGGGCCAGGGTCGAAAGCCTGAGCAAGGAGTCCCAAAACCCTGAGCGCTATAGAGCCCCGAATCCTATGCAGCGACGAAAAAGACAAATCTCTTACGCTTGCCGGCGCGGGACATCCTTAGCGAGGATGACGTCGCAGCCCTGAGGCATCACCTGAATCAGAAGATGCCAATGCTGCAGGGGGAGAAAAATGAGGGCTGTTCTACATGCGGCCTTGAGAGCACCTTTTGTGGATATATCATCAGTATCCCAGTGCCAAGTAGTTGATCAAACCAATTGTTCTATGTTGCCCTAGAAGCCCAGCTGCGTGAACAATAGTTGCTGTCCGCCTAGTCTTCATGGAAAGCATACCATGGTATAGAGTCTCGTCGATCTAGTCGCGTAGAAGCAGTGGCCACACTCTAAGCCGCTGCTGGATAAGACTATGACTTGGGGATAACTCGACTCCGCAAATCTCTTCCGCTCTTTGTGTAGGGCCTGGGTTTGAGGATGTCTGAGGTAAGAGCTCGACAAGCATCCAGCATAAACTGTTAAAATATCACCAAGTAGGCTTGTACTTAATGTACTGGTTTATGCTAATTTAATGATGCCTTAATGAAGCTGTTAGGGTCTGCGGTCTGGGGCATCGGATTTACGGCTTAATTAAGGGGTTCACGTTTCCGGCTCTGGGCTTACAGGACCTTACAGGATCAGAGTGGTGGTTCAGGTTTCTTGGTGTTCTACGTTGCATACAACCTCAGGTAGGTCAGTGTAAGACGTCCAATCTTGCCTTCAGCAGGACTGTGCCAACTGTGCTCCGAACATGTGCAGGTTTGGGGCACCCTTTCACAGGCTGAGGCAAACCCCCCGCGCCCCCGCCCAGATTCCGTGATTTAGAGGCCTCTTGCATGCATGTAGGCTTTTTATGAAAGAGATCCCGATACACCGATGCTTAAAGTTTGCGGCTGCTTTTTGATAGTTCGAATAGAATTTCTTACGAAGAACACTGGAGTGCCTAAACCCTTCGCCTCGATTCCCGTCAAGTTGGACAGGTCCGTCTGGATGAACCTCGCCAGAAATCCAGCTTCAGAAATCAGGGGTTTTGTTCCTGCATGGGGCTATCTGACATGTATATAAGCCCAACAGTATCTCCACAGCCAAAACATCGGAGACCGCTCCAAACGTGCGAAACTGGCTCCAAAATTCGGACGAGAACCTCAACACTCCTCACCGCACACAGCGTGCGGCACGGAGACTGAGAAGTGCACTGCATCTTGGGAAACCGCCGGAAGTTGATGGCCAAGCAGAAGGGGGTGATGTCCTCAGGTGTCGGGAGTCTGTGAGAACGCGCTACGGTTCCAGGGGTAATTCAAAGAGAAAAGGTTCAGACTCACACGTGCACAAACACGGCACTGTTAGGGTGGTGTGCATCCGGCTCAGCCTTGAGATCTTCCTGAAGAACGTATCTGCACTTCGTGTGGTGCTGTATTTCGGACATTTACCTTGAGGAATTTTGTTTCTAGCAGGCGATTGCCTTCGCTTGATGCGGCCCCCCCGACTATAATTAATAACATCCCGTCCCCCAGTGACGTAGTCAAGACTGCTCCACGGATCCTTTTGAACCCTGCTCGTCCCTAAGCGCAGCTAGACCCGAGAAAAGCCAATCCTGAAATAATAGGTCTGGATGAACAGAGGCTTATGGACTGGGAACCTGGATCCGAACCTGAGAAAGCCGACCCTGACTCTGGTCCTTTGGTTGGCTTGAAGTGTTCAACGGTGTCTCGGACCCCCTGTCGCCCTTTGACTTCGGGTAGATAGGTCGAGGAGGGCATGATTTTTCATACCGCAGTTTCCAAGGTTCTGCGATTCCGCGAGTTGGAAGCAGGGTTCTCGGCTTGGAGTACGGTGTGATAGTGTGTCTTTCAAGGTCTTTTGGCTCGGCGAGCAGGCGGCGCCCAACGCTATCCAGAGCTTAGATGAAAGGCTTAGAGTGCCAAAGCTGAGCATAAGACCACGCCGACATAGGTAACCAGAGGATGCTCTTGCAGGAAGTACCTGGGCGCTGCAGTGCAAGCAGGTGCCGCGAAAGCTAAGGCACTTCGCAACCGGTCCCACAGCGCACTGCATCCACGACATATCGCCGCAGCCGACGTCCAGGAGGGTCCGAATGTCGGGAAACCGTGCCATCAACTGCGCTGCGGGAGCTTCCAGATGCCAGTGGCAGG